ACTAATGCATATAAATGAGGGAGGCTATAGTTATCCTGGTAATCTTATTGGATGTCTCAAATGCAGTTTAATGATCATGATTTTTAAAAGTCTCTCATTAAATTTTAGTCACATGCCTCATTCTTGATCAAAATGTCTATCAGCAAATCCATTCCCCTCCCCATTCATCTGCATAATCTCCAAACCACTTTTCACAGTCAAAACCAAAAATAAATCTTCCTTCAAAGGATGATCCCAGGTGCCAGCACGACTATTCAGAGTATTTCAGAGCTTCCTCAATTTCAACCGAAGAAAGTCCAAAGACTCCCTGTGAATAGAGGTACTATGTCTTTTGAATTCCAACTTTTGAGAGACAGTTTTCCATGGGAATCTCCTGTTTCTGCACATCTTGTGAGCGGAGGCAGAGCATTTTTGTTCCAGACTATCTTTGTATGTAGGAAACAACCTTGGAAGAGAGCATATTCCCCTGGCGGACAGCCTTGACTGCATGCCCTTTAAAAGACTAGGCTTCCTGAGCTAGAAATTCCTCAGCTGTGACAGAAACACACTCCGGGTGCAGGCTCTGCCTGGGTTACTCTGCCTCGTCCCCCTGGAGCTTGGAAAGCAAGAGATGAGGAACAGGAAGCTCACACAGTCCAAGAGGCTTCTGACCTGGGACTCTCCCATCTGTGGCCAACGTGCATGATACTGTGGCAGGTTAACTTGTTAGCTTGCACACAGCGTGCGTCTCAGACCCTTCACAGTTCTTGACACCAGTCACCCCTGAAGCTTACATTTATAGAGTAAAAGGATTTCTTTGTCCTACCTGATTTTCACCGCTCTCAGGCAAATGATCTAATACAATTCCTGCACAATGAATATATAAGGACCATCTTCTGGAGATTGTTGCAAATGCCCTTAATATTTCTAGCCAGAAAAATGAGAAGTAAATATAATGTATTAAAAGACATATGTAAGAGAGACAAAGGTTAGAAAGGACTAAAAAAGATTAAACGGGGAAGAAGGTAATCCTAGAAGGTGGAAATAAAACAAATTACAAAGCACGTCTTTAATTTTGGTTTAGTCCCACAAGCGAAACCCTTCTTTGCTAACAAAAATTATGCCCTATCGCCCTCTGCCGGAACCAGGCTGGAAACTACAGGGAAATCGTTTGAAGTTGCTCTTCCTGGAATCTGCTTATATCTGTTATGCATTGCTACCATTTTCCAGATTTTAAAGTATAAACCTCAGAAGTTCAGAAAGATAAAGGAACTCAGCTCCCTTTGCATGTGCAGCCTGACAGGTTAATGCTGAACTACCTCATGCTGAAAAGAGAATGGACAGTCCTTCCCATACTCATCTTAAATTTGTAGCAGTCAGATTGCAGGGAGCACTAACAGAACTATAGCCTTTTCTGGACGTCCCAACAGGTCGTCCCTAGCAATTCTGCCTCCATCTGCCCCACTTCCATTCCATGGAATCTGCATAGAACCCTTCCCTCATCTATTAACCCCATCGCCAAACCTACTCAGTTCCATCTCAGCCAGTATCACTTTACTCCTGGGCCGTACAATAGGACTAGACAGAGTGAATGCCAACTCTTCCAGCAGAGTAACATCACACTGTGAACTCAAATGGTGAGTGTCGAAAGTCCAAACCTTCACTGTAGTTTAAATGTCACCCTATCTATACCTAAAAGCAGCATGCCTAAATGTTTTGATCATGCACTGAAATCACAAAAAGATGATGCACCAATAAATGTATTATTTATTTACGAATTATGTGTACAATTGTACAATATATTATGTACATTATAAAACACACAAAAATAGAAATTTAAAAGGATGAGAGTAAATACAAATAACCATTTTACCTTTTCCCAATGGACTGCTGATCTGCATACCCCAGGTATATATATCACACATCCATCTGAAACCACAGCCCTAAAGCATGCCAAGGATTGCCATATATGGATTTTTAGCTTGTTTACAAAAAAATGTACAAGATCATAGCTTTTAAAGTTTTGCAAAATAGACCTAATGTCTAGTTTAAATGTGTGAAGATGTTTGACACTAACTTAAGACACATTAGGGCCAATCACTACCCACTTAGTGAAATGTTGATAGTTCCATGATAGCTGTTTCATCTTAAGGCAAATTTAAATGGGGGATTTCATAGAGTTAAGAATATTTGGTGAGAAAAACGCTTTAAAGAAATACTTAAATGATGACGATTTGCCTGTTTAAAAAAAAAAAAAAAAGCTAGTACCTAAAAAAATAATTCCTCTGCCTATAGTGGAAAAGACTTTAAAAAAAAAGGGGAGGGGCATTCCAAACAACGGCCATTATCTAACACAAATGGTTGAGAATAGATTGCCACACATCTGCCTGTCCTAAAACCAGTGAGTCCTTAAGAACGTGAATTCTTTGACTTCTATAGCCCCAGTAACGAATTATAGACCTGAAAACATAGAAACTCAGTGAGTATATGACAAACGATGAACTGATGAACAACCCCTCAAACATGTAGAGTGCTGAGTTACATTTGAAAAAACTTGCTAAAGAACACTTCAGCATCTGGTCGTGATTTTTTGAAGCAAAGAACTAGACAAACGTCATGGTCAGCAATACACTCAAGAGTTGCATTACATTTCTCAACATCATCCCACCTCTTTTCCCCATCAGTCAGTCCTTCGGCATCCCACAACCCACATTGCTTCTACCCAAGGTCTGGGCTTCCAGCCATGCAGTGGAGTACAGTGAGCCAGGCTTGTCTTTCTCCAGCCCTCAGTGCAAGCTGGGAGAAATAGAAAAGTATTTCCCACACAGAGAACCTTATTCAAAGTGCTCCTTAATTTAAAAAAGTATTCATGAAAACTTAAAAAATTTTTGTAGGAAGGACAGGAATATCTGACTTTTGAGATTGAGATACACACATGACAAACACCACAGGGACTCAATCAAGTTTTGTTAACACTAAAATTTACAACTGCTAGACTTTCAAGTGTGGTCTCATGGAAGAGTTCTCTTGTAATAGGTGCCGCACCAATTTAGAGAGAAATATTGCACAATTTAAATAACTTAATTTCATAATGTTTCACTTTGTGTATACACACTGATTTCATCTGTATGTTCAATTACTGACAAAATAGTTTCTTGATGAAAACAAAACTGAAACTACACTAAGTTACCATTAGATTAATGCAAACCAGGGTTAGGTATCAAATCTTGATCAGGAGAAGCGATAGGGAGTTTAGAGGTTTGCTGAAGAGATGGGAACCATAAACCGAAGGCTCAGTTTTTTCACTACTGCAATATGGAGTTTTTACCTAAAGCACTTATTAGAGGATAATGTACTTACGTGGTTGGGAAGTACATATATATCACCCAGAGGGCAAAGGAAAACAGACTAGTGGGATTTTTCCAAGGTCAAGGTGTTGCTGTTTTTTTAAGTACTGTGGTGGGTTACTAGGTTGTGAAATCCTCCTCTCTAAACACAGAAAGCTTCTTTAAGACAAAATAGCTACTAGAATAGAAATACTTTCTTGAAAATTTTCTTTTAAGAAAACCAGGATATGTGCACATTACACATTGTTTGGTTTGTTCACGTTTTCTCGAACAACTCCTCTTGCTTGATGCTCCAGGCAGGGCTCTCTGCCTTCTACCACACTTAAGTGACCAGCAGCTGGCTCATCTGACACTGGAGCTTCCCAGCAAAACCTTACTCAAAAAGTAAACCCTCTACTTGTAAAGTGAAACAGCTCCTCAGTGGCACGACTGAGGCACCTTTAAAAAGAAAAATAGGTGATGGAGTTTCTAGTGAAAAAACTGCTTTGAGCATATTGTAGAAAATATTATATTCTAAATTTAGAACCAGAAAAACCATTCATGTTTTTGGTAAGTTCCAAATTTTATTTCCAACTACTGCAGTAACAAAATACCAGTGGTAATTCTGAATGGCAAGTGGCAACCTTTTAAATCAATAAGGTCACAATCAGTATTCCAACAGTACTTAGGCCTATGGAGATTTTGATAGAAGAGGATTATTACAATCAGTACTATATTATTACAGACATATGCTTCCTCAGTATCTAGTAATAAAAATATTCGTCCTACCTCAATGATTCATCATGTATACATTTCTACTCTCTATAAGCACTATCCTTCTGGGTTGCAATGTGTGAGGGGAAATTCCTCCCACTCATGGATTTTTCAATACCATACAGATATAGTGGTCACTTCAGAAGTAGCATACACTATTAAACTTTTAGTTGAAAAATAAAAGAATGAATTCTCCTATTATATGCTTTCTCTGGGAGTAAAAAGACACACCATTACAAACATAAAATGAGTCAAATTTCTATTTTATTGACAGGAGTCCAAAATGAATACAAAAAAATGCCTCCTTTGCATGTTATCTATTTTTTTCCTTAAAAGGTTTCTGAGTCAGGTAGATTAAAAGCTAAGAATGTATTTTAGCTTTCATAGTGAACCTTTTAAAAAAGGTTTAATAACATGAGTCACCAACATCATATGGTCCCACAATCATTTTTAGACCTATAGCTTATAAAAAGAATTAGATCCTGCACTGATCTGCTAAAATAGAGGCTTAAAAATGTTTTAAGCCATGAAAAGCCATTTTTACAGTCTGTATAGTAACTCTGGGCAATTAAGAAAAGGAAAATCCCCAAATGTAGCCCTCTGTATTATGCGGAATGTGACAGAATGCCAACTTATGACCAAGATAGATAAAAACAAAAAGTTTAAAGCTATGAATAGAGCTGTTATAAATAGTCCTGTATCACTGCAAAATGTCAATAAAATGAATGATAAAGCTTATCAAAAAATTAAAACTTGAGCAGATGTTACTTAAAACATATGTATGGTGTTTATCATACTTTAATGTTTGCTACAAACTAAAGCTAAACAAAGAAAAGTTGCTCACTTATAGATTGGTTTTCATGTACCTTTACTTTTACTGGGACCATAAAATGATCAGATAATACATAGCCCACACTTCTGGACAGTTATAACAAAGGGTTTATTATCATTTGCAGATGAAATAAATGCACCATCCCATCCATACTTGAAAGGCTTTAACAAGCCTTAAGTGTTTTTCAGACTGTACCAAGGCACTACCACTGCCTAGTTGTAATATGCACCCATTTCTAGTAAAGAACTAATATCTCCCTCAACATCAGTTCTGCACTGTTTCTGGTTTATTATACACTTCCAAAAGAGCAAAAATTTGCAAATATGTGCAAATATTGTGGTTCATTCATAGTACTGCTTAGTCATCATCTTCCTCCTCTTCTTCCTCTTCCTCAAAGCTATCTTCAAAGCCCTCGCTGTCTTCCTGGTCTTCATCCCCTTCTACTGCTGTATCCCACTGCGGGTGGTTTTCTGGTACAGGCTTGGCCTCGTGAACTTCCAACTATAAAGAAGAATAAAATAGACATGAGAAATTTGGGGAAGAATAATAGAAGAAATATCTGATAAAAGATTTTCTTTGACCACAACGATTATAAAGAAATAGATTTTATGGTTGTAACTCTAAATTTAACATAATTACTTATAATAAACATTCATCCCAGAAATAAAAAGGTAATCTAATAACACGCAAATGTCGTTAAATTTCTAATGCAATCTGACATTTTAATTTTACAGAAACTATGCTATTTACTCTGTAGCATGAAAGATTAATAATTGTGATTCTGGAACAACAGCACTGAGATATGTCTCAGTAAGTCTGCTGAGGGAAGAAAAGCTCAAATGTGACTTTTAAAAAGGTATTTTGCAGCCTCCAGCCTCATGAAATAAAATTCTATTGACAATGGAAAGAAACAGGAGATCGTCATGGGAAAACACAGGCATGCCTGTACTGGCTCCCTATGCTCTGGGACTCCAGCATACGGTGCAAGACTTCAATACAGCTTTTACACAAGAGAACACCTTTTATAAAACCTCAAGTGATACTGGTAAACACTGACAGGAATGTGCTTCAAATGATACTTACACAAGTGTATACTCTAATATGATAAAAAAACAAATTAGTTTCAGAAATTAATAAACACTCCAACAGAATCTATGGGGAAAATACATGTGCTTTTCTTAAAAAAAAAAAAAAAGAATCCGGTTGGTGAGGCCCTATAAAGCTATAGCATATAAAAGCACATTAAGAGTATCCCTTAAGTAATTTATATTTAACATTCTAAATCTAGTATTTTCAAGGTTCTAAAGCATTATACTCCTTTAACTCAACAACTTTATTATGGAAAGAGCAGGCCGTTAAGAATATCATATATAAAGTATAAGATGACATCTTTTTCCCTCTATTACTCCAAACCAGCAATGCTTCCCTAGTATATTAAGCACTTCTTCAAACAGGAAACCATATTTATTGAAGAATCACTATTATTACCTTCAAGGGTTTAATCTGATCCAAACCCATATAGGAATCTGATCTCAGAAACACTGTATACTGATAATTTCCAGGCTTGCCTGGTGCAGGAAACTTCAGTTCTACCTAGAAGAAAAAAAACAGCACTTAAAATCCGTATTTTGAGAAATGGAAGAAACAACAGTTCACTCTTAAATTAAAATTCCTAGATAAGAGTATTTAACAGGTTAAGTATGTATTCGGATGACACAGGGAGTCCTAACAAATGTTACAAAAGTTGGAACCCCAACATATATGTGTGTGTATCTGTATGTATATATACACATATTTATGTCATTTATTATATACACTATGCAAAAAGGAAACCAAATTAGGTAGGATTTATGGGGCTAACTTGTATCTCTGCAATTCAAGAAAGCATATTTGGAGCAAACCAAGTTCTATGTTGACCATCACACCTTGACAACTTGAAGAAATGAAGTAGGGAATAAAGGAAAATAAATGAAATGTAAAAATAACATAGGCTTCACCATATAGGTAATTCTCATGTAATTTTCTTATTTCTAAGATAAATGCAATGAGATAATAGAAAATATATATATTGGTCTCTACCCCCAGTTCGTGGGACAGAGCTAAACCCCTATAATTTCCTAAGTGATAAGAGCACTAAGAACATTTTTTGTTCTCGTATTTGGTCTGTGACGCTGGTTTGTGACACTGAGCTTGTAATCCTGCAGAATTACCTGGGTAACAGAAATGTGTTTTGTTCAAATGAGGTGACCCTTGATGCGCATCTAGATGAGGTCTCGTCACCAGGAAGACCAAGCCATGATTAGAAGTTTGGAGCTCTGAGCCATATCCAGCCATTCTCCAGAGACGGGCTAGAAATTGAGTTAATGATCCCTCATGCCTATGTGATGAAGTCTCCATAAAAATCCTGAGTTAAGGGGGTGGCTCAAGGAGCTGCCAAGTTGGTGAGTACATGGAGATGCTGGGAGAACGGTGTCCTCAAAAGAGCATGGAAACTCCATGCCCTTTGCCACATACCATGTCCTATGTTATCTCTTCCATCTGAATAGTCCTCTGTATCCTTTTTGCATTATTTTATAATAAACTAGTAAACATGTTTCCCTAAAGGGCGCCTGGGTGGCTCAGTCGGTTGAGCGTCCGACTTCAGCTCAGGTCATGATCTCGCGGTTCGTGGGTTTGAGCCCCACATCGGGCTCTATGCTGACGGCTAGCTCTGAGCCTGGAGCCTGCTTCAGATTCTGTGTCTCCCTCTCTCTCTGACCCTCCCCTGCTCATGCTCTCTCTCAAAAATAAATAAAATATTAAAAAAAAAAGTTTCCCTGAGTTCTATGAGCCATTCTAGCAAACTGTCAAACCCAAGGAGGGGTTCATGGGAACCCCAATTGATAGACAGCTGGTCAGAAATACAGGTGACAACTTGAGACTTGCAAGTGGCATCTGAAGCACGTGGAGGGAGAGGGGCAGTCTTATGGGGCTGAGTCCTTACCGTGCGGTATCTGATCCCAACTCCAGATAAAAAGAGTCAGTGTTAAATTAAATTGCAGGACACTTAGCTGGTGTCACAGAAAATTACTTGGTGTGGGGTAAAACCTGGTGTCAAAAGTGCTGTGAGTGTGATAATAGTGTGAGTTAATGAGAAACACACAAGGGAAGTGACTTTTTCCTTTACAAATGCTCACTGTTGAAAATACCATATACTTTCACTCATATGTGGAATCTAAAAGACAAATGAGGGGCGCCTGGGTGGCTTAGTCGGGTTAAGCGTCCGACTTTCGCTTAGGTCATGATCTCGCGATTCGTGGGTTCGAGCTCCGCGTCGGGCTCTGTGCTGACTGCCAGCTCAGAGCCTGAAGCCTATTTCAGAGTCTGTATCTCCCTCTCTCTCTGACCCTCCCCTGCTCACGCTGTCTCTCTCTCTCTCTCCTAGAAATAAATAAAAGTATTTAAAAAAAAAAAAAAAAGACAAATGAATAAATCAAAACCAGAATCTAACCTATAAATACAGAGAAGAAACTAACGGTTGCCAGAGGGAACAGACGGGGAGGGGATGAGGGGATGGGCAAAATGGGTGAGAGGGAGGAGGAGATACAGGCTTCTAGTTACAGAACGAGTTAATTCACATAAACATAAGGTACAGCCTAGAAAATCTAGTAAATAGTACTCTAATAGCACTGTACGGTGACAGATGGTAGCTACACTCATCGTTAGCACAGTGTAACATACAGAGAAGTTGAGTCACTATGTTAAACACCTGAAACTAATATAACATTGTATGTCAACTATACGCAAAAAAAATTTTTTTTGAACATGCCGAATATCTTAAAAGGTTGAGAAGATACTTATTTCCTATCAAATCATAAACTTCATATACAAAGAGTTAGAAACTCTTTAACGTTCAATTCCAGGGGAAGGAAGATGCCGGGGGAGTCGGAGGACCCTATGCTCTCATAATCCCACAAATATAACTGGATAACTATCACATCATTCTACATACCCTAGAAGTTGACCTGAAAACTGGCAGAAGAAACTCCACAACTAAGGGTAGAAAAGAGGCCATGTCAAAGGAAGGAAGTGTAGAGATGTGGCTTGGGCAAGAAATGGATTATGACCACTGTGGTGGGTAGGGAGCTGTGGTCATGAAGGAGCCACAGGAGAGTGCATGGGGAAAAGGAATCCCCATAGTAACTGGCTTAGAGAGCACAAGGGCCTGAATTACTTGAGTTCTTGGAACCAGCAGAGCTTTTAGCCTGGAGTTTGAAATGTAAGCATGCTTGGCTCTGGGAAAGCTTAGAGGACATTGGGGCTGCTCTTGGAGAAAAGGTAGGGCAAACAGTCCACAGATATACAGTGTGGAAACAGTGACCTGAAGAGTGCAGGGGGCACATAGTGCGGAGGGTATCTGTTCATCTCACAGTGCATCGTTGTTGACAGATAGCATTCACGGAGATCCCTGGCCACTGCCTTTCCCTCCTCTCCCCTTCAGCACAAGCACAGGGCCACCTGCGGGAAGCAGCAGCATCACTGATACCACCTAACTTGCTTCCACTAAGCCCCCAGGCCCTGAGCTCCAGTGCAACTGCCCCTCCCAGTCACACTTGCTTCAGTCCCAGCACAGCAAAGCCCCAAGTTTAGCAGGGCCCTGGCTCCCTTGGCGGTGGCAGAAGGACTCATTTCACAAGCAGACCAGAATACACCTAATTAAAACTAAGTCACGTTCAGGCTAGGGACCAAACACTGCCCACCAACAAAGAGACCCTCTGCAGATGACTGGCCTGAAAAATAAAGCAGCCAGGACACAAAAGCAAAGTGCAAACAGCACACATTGAAGACATCCCTTGAAGCTCCAGACCCTGGGGAACAAAAGACACTACACTGCAGGACACTACAGGACCTCTTCTAAATATAAAGCCATTATCCTCAAGAAGAGGAGACAAAGCTGACTTTCCTAACATGGAGACAGGCACAGGGACTTAGACAAAATGAGAAGACAGAGGAATCTCTTCCAAATCAAATAACAGGACAAGGCCACAGCAGAAGATCTAAGCAAAACAGACAGAAGTAATGCCTGATTGAGAACTTAAAGCAATGATCATAAGGATGCTCACTGGAAGTGAGAAAAGAGGAGAGGACCTCAGTGAGATCATTAACACAGAGATAAGGACTAACAGCAGAGATAAAGGGCTCAATAAACAAAATAAGAAACACACCTGATGGAATAAACAGCAGGCTGGAAGATGCAGAGGAACGAATTAATGGCCTAGAAGACAGCAATGGAAAGTAATCAAGCTGAACAAACAAAAGAAAGGAGGATTATGCAAAATGAGAATAAACCTGGGAACTCAGTGACTCAGTGACATTAAAAGGTAACATTCACATTATAGGAGTCACAGAAGAAAAGAGAAAAAGGAGACAGAATTTATTTGAAGAAATAATAGCTGAAAATTTCCCTAATCTGGGAAGGAAACAGATATCCAGATCCAGGAGGCACAGAGAACCATCAAAAAAATGAACAAAAGCAGATCCACACCAAGACATATTGTAATTAAAATGTAAAATATAAAGAAAAAATATTAAAAGCTGCATTAAAAAAAAAAAAGACAAATACATACAAAGGAAACCCTATAAGGCTATCAGTAGATTTTTCAGCAGAAACTTTCTAAGCCAGAAAGGAGTAGCATGATATATTCAAAGTGCAGAATGGGGAAAACTGCATCCAAGAAACACTATCCAGTAACATTATCAATCAGAATAGGAGAGATAACGAGTCTCTCAAACAAAAAGTAAAGGAGTTCATGACTACTAAACCAGCCCTGCAAAAAAATATTAAAGGGGACTCTGAGTGGAAAGATCAAAAATGACACTATGAAGGTAAGATAGACAAAAGCTGTAAAACTGAATACTTCTGTAAAAAATCAGTCAAGGAACTCACAAAATAAAAGGATATAAACTATAACAATATATACCGAAAATGTGGGGAAAAGAGGAGCAAAGGATGGGTTCAAACTTAAACAACCACCAACTTAATATAGGCTGTTATATGCAAATGATGTTATGTACAAACCTAATGGTAACCACAAATCAGAAATCACTAATAAATACGTAGAGAGTAAAGAAAAATCCAAATATATCACTAAAGAAAACCAGCAAACCATGAAAGAAAGGGTCAGAGAAAATCTTTAGAAACCACAAAACATGTAATAAAAGGGCAATAAATCGACATCTATCAATAATTACTCTGAATGTGTGAGGCTTCTGGATGACTCAGTCAGTTGAGTGTCTGACTCTTGATTTAGGTTCAGGTCATGATCCCAAAATTGTGGGAATGAGGCCCGCATCTAGCTCCATGCTAAGCATGGAGCCGACTTAAGATTTTCTCTCTCTGCCACTCTCCTTCACTAAAAAATCATCATCATCATCACTCTGAATGTAAGTCAAAAGACATAGGGTAACAGAATGGATAAAAAAACAAGACCTATCTATATGCTGCCTAGAAGAGACTCATTTCATACCAAAAGACAACTGCACACTGAAACTGAGGGGATAGAGAAACTTCTTTTTTTTTTTTTTTTTTATATTTTTATTTATTTCTAGGAGAG